AGGAAGGAGATCGACTCATCGCCACATAGATCTGACCAGGAGCAAACATATTTTGATCTATGGTCAAGGTGACGTGCAGCAACGTTAAGCCTTGGGTCTTGTGGACGGTTAACGCAAAAGAGTTCTGTAAAGGGATTTCACTTCGGTTTGAATACTGGAAAGAAATGAGACATTGTCGCTGGATTGCTTGGGTTGATTTTCTGGATTTGGTTGTAGAAAGTGGGAAATGACGTAATGATTGATTTTATGATCCATGGTTTCAAAAAATTAAGTGTAGACAATTTATTTAAGATTTGGGGATTTTTTTTTTGTTAAAAAAAAATGCTAATGAGCAAAAATTTATTTATTTTATTGAACAAAAAAATCTAAACACATCAATTTAAATTTAGATTGGAAATTAATTACACAACAGAAACCATCAGATCCTTCATTGTTAAAAATTCATTCAAGGCTCGTGCATTTCTTTTAAACCTTTTTGATTTAAGAAATTTAACCTCTTATACTCATTTATGACATCGACGTCCACTTTCAAGCAGTCAAAATCAAAAGATAGAATGTCCAATGACTTCCAGGAAGAAGCTCAACTCATCGCCACATAGATTTGTCCTGGTGCAAACATGTTATGGTCTATAGTCAAGGTTGCATGTGGCAGTGTTAGGCCTTGAGTCTTGTGCACCGTAAGAGCAAATGCATTCTGCAACGGAAGTTGATACCTTGATGCCGGTATGCCATTTATATTAAAATTTGCAGTGCTTTTCTGAACGTTGATTTTCACCACATTATCAGTTGTTGGGAACGTAACTTCAACATTGTCATCATTAATAACTTTAGTTACCACTCCTATCATCCCATTGCAGATGTTGTGCTCGAAGAGTTGGTTGTTCAAGAACATAACCCTCACCCCTTCCTGGATTGTAATGGATTTTTGGAGATTTGTGTGATTTTTGAAAGGCAAGTTGTGCCCACCATTGATCCTCTCATGATTTAAAGTGTCAACTGCTAAGGAAAAGTGCATCGGTCATCGAAAGGTAAGTGCTCACAAACGAAGGTGTTTATTTGGTCTGATATTTCACAGGTACTAACAACGTGGGTAGTGTTTATCATCACCCTGGAATTTTGAGATCTTTCTACCTTTTCATTGATCAACAATTTTGATTTTTGTGAGAGGTGCCCAAATCTCAACTCCTCGAGCAAATGGAAAAAATCCAAATCTTCCTTCTGTCGTTGTGGCCTGGACAAGAACAGAGGGAAAAACGCTTTCCACGCCGGTGAAAAGAAAACATGTTCTCCGTTCACGGGAGGCAGTTGGAAAAGATCACCAACCAACAGCACTGAAATTCCACCAAATATCTTGTGGCTGTTGTGCAACGAACCAAAAAGGTTACTCAGGAACGAAAACAGCTCATTGGAAACCATCGATACTTCTTCTATCACAACAGCCTTGATCTTCAGCAGAGCTTCTCTCGAGGACTCAGTACTTAGGGACAAGGACTGGTAGTGGCCATCTGTTTGTCTTATTCTCAAGGTTGAATGAATGGTCCTCCCACCAACGTTCTGTGCTGCAACACCTGTAGGTGCCAGCAACAGGTAATTGATTTTCTTTTTTTCCAGCATGTCTATCATTTTTAAAGTCATGAATGTTTTTCCAGTACCTGCAGATCCGGTCATGAAGAAGTACAGATACTTGTTTTCGCATTCGGGGCCCCAAGAATTACAAAGCATGTTGTATATTTTGTATTGGTCGTGATCAAGCATCAGTGTGGAGGCTGTTCGAAGAGAAGGCTTTTCCAACGAGATAAGCTGGTTATATATAATGTCCCAGAGATCGTTCTTTTGTAGATCTGTCAGGACGTGTTCAATCACTCTCTTGAACGCTTCAGAAAGTTGGAATTTGCCGGCAACGGAACTTTTTGATAATCTCAACACGGCCTGCTCGTACCTTATCAGGTACAGGCTTCTAAACCTATCCCTATAACTTGTAAATCCTCCTAGCAAATCAACCTCGGAGCGAACAGCATGTTTCATTATAAGATGCTGATAGAAAAACGGCTCTCCATCGTCAACATTATAATTTGTAAATCTCACGAGCAACGGTTTGGTCCTTTCAGCAACAAATCTATGTTTCAGATCTCTTGTCAAGTAAAGCTTGCAGGTTCTGACCCCCAACTTTAAATCTTTGAAAGTATTCAGGGTAAGTTAAACTTTCAAAAAGTTCATTACTTGGCCAATCAAAATACTTGTCTATCGCATCATCAAAATACAATTTTTCCTCATCCTCATCCTCATCATCTTCTTGTTGCTCCTCAATTGCATGTGAACGGGCTTGACCGAACGAATTCTCAATTCGGAAGGGGCTGATGGAAGATATTGAACGGAAGCAGAAGACCTTGTTATGGAATATTGCAAAAGCAATATCATGAATTCCATCGACCCTAACCTCCTAGCCTGGACATGTCTGCTGTAAGAATCTTGTTTGCTAACATTGAAGATTTCTGTGGGTTCAGGCTTGGTGGCATACTTTGTCACGTATTTTCCAAACCCAAGGGTCGTTATGTATTGGAAGTTGATGTGTCCTTGCCAAATCAAAAGTGTCTCAGGGTGGTATGGTACAACCCAGCGGTCTTCCTCTTTGGTTCTTTGATAGACGTATCATTTGGAATTTGGCCTACAGTACGTGTTGTTTGAAAGCAGTTGAGGGAATCCATTTTTGCACGGTTGCAAATTCGTACCTGGACCTCTGCATTTTTCCGCAATGCATCTATGAATTTGGAACGTTGTGACAAGCCAGTGAAGCTCAGGCTCAAGGACCAGGTGAGGCATGTCCGCACGGATTGCATTGTCCGAAATCAAGCCTTGGATCGAAGATTCGGTGTAGGCGAACCCATGCGTGTGGATGGTTCCTCTGTTCTGAAATTCATCCCTTTCGAAATAGTGTAGGAGCTTACCCCATTGCACAAGACCTGGATTTTTCCAAAGTTTATTGCGCACGTTTGCCAACCTGTTGTGATAATGGAGGTACATGTGCAATGGTCTGTTTGTTGGGAGTGGATCTTTCTTGTCGGTGCATTCTAAGATTTCTTTCAGATGCTGCCATTTGCCTTCTGTGGCTGTCATGGTGTAGAAAATTTGGGGCAGGCCATAAGCTTGGATCATTGTGTTGATCTGATACTGTTTTTTCTTGAAAAAAGGCGCAGACGTTCTGATAGATGAAGGTAGCGTGGTGGTTAAGGATTTGTTTATGATGGGGCGACTTGTGTACATGCTTGATGATATCAAGTCAGCTCTGGTAAGTGGTGAGTCGTGAGCGACATTCTTCTGATTCAAAATTCTGTTCTGATTTTGGTAATTCCGTTTTTTTTCTATGTTCATGTAAGAATAATGTGGCCAATACCAATGCAATCGAAACCGTGGATCAGGACACAGCATTCTTAATTTATCATACTTTCCATAACTGTCTGTAACTTGTTTAAAGCTTAGCAACTTTTTCACATCTTCATAGTGACCACGGCTGGTGGGAAAGAGATCAGGGAAGACCAACGCTTCAACGTATGGATTACTGAGCTGAATCAGAAGCACAAGGTCATCATCCAAGTCCATGAACCCTGCCATCAAGCATTCATACCTGTAGTCTTCATCATGGATTTGTGCTGGAAAGTCATCATTTGGGACGACCAAGGAGGGTGGTTGTGTGGTGTGTTGGTTAGATGGTAAGCGATCAACAGATCAAGAAACCAGCCTAGCTGTGGGCAAAGGCTCTGGAAATGGATCAGAGGGCGAAGAACGTGTCATGGCGCGATTGTTGTTGTATTGTTTAAATATTGGGTTGTTTTGTTTCAGCCATCGGCTTGCATTTATCAAGCTCTCATGAAACCAATTAGGTGGCTCGGTACCTTGATCAAGGAAAGCACCAATCATGCCCGAGTGCAGATTCAAAGCATGCTTATTCTTTGATAGTCCGATGAAGCCTTGCAAATGACGATAGTTTGTGTAATGGTTGGATCCAGACGCATGTCCCAGCGAACAGCTCATGTGAATCGGAGATATATGCTTACAGTACACCATTGGAACCACGTTGATTTCTTCAGGTATTGCCGCTAATACAGGTGGGAAATGATGGTTTTTTACTGTTTTGCACGACGAGCAAACAGCAATCTTGATACGGTCTTGGTTGTTCATACGCAAAGGTAGCTGAAGTTTGGGGAATGCTGTCGTTAGGTCGTAAGTTTCATCAGGGTTGTAATCAACCCATTTCACAGCAGTGCTCATCATTAGGATAGAACAATAGGCACAAGGAGTAGATGGGTGATCATACAGTATTTTTTTTTTGAATTGGTCTAAAAGTTCTAAAAGTTTTTCTGAAGGGCGCCATGGCTGCAATGACAAAGCGGACACCGGCCGGTTACTCAGCAGAGCATTCAGCAAGTTCTGATTCACTTTGTTACGATCCACATATGCAGAAAGGAACGAAACGTCACGAGCATTATTATTATTATTATTAACACGACGAGTATCGGGATCAGGAACGATAAAATCCGAAATGGGATAATTATTCATGGTTTTTTTTTTTTATTTTGTATTGACAATTTTTTTTCAACAAAATTTATTTTTTAGACAAGATGTCCCAAACGCATTCTTTTTATACAATTTATCGAGGGTGAGCATCATCACGTTTTACGCAAATCAGGATTGGAGATTAGATTTTTATTCTTTATTTGTTTTTCAAATCAGTAAAACTAAGATATTGATCAATTGATCACAAAAAAAAATAATCTATATTAAAAAAAAATTTTTTACTTCTTCATTACACAACAGCAAGCCAAAAACATCGATCATTCATCATCGCTGTATGCTTCATTGTTTGATCAGTGATCAAGATCAAGGTCTTCCTCTTCGTCGTTGGAACACGGCAACTCGGGTCCTTTCCCCTTTCTGTTAACTTGATCCATCGCCGTTTGTAAGGCTTTTGTTCTTGTGATGGGCCTGTTCAGTGGACTCAGCTCTGTGCAAACTTTTTTGTGAGATTCATTGTCATCAACCACCACTACTTGTCTTTTATTATTTTCTACAGTGTTGGTGGCGGTGGCTGATGTTGAGGTCGACGGTGATGTGGATGATGACGCAAACGACGACGATGACGACGCATTGTTGACTTTGTGCCTATTGTTTGACTTCTTGCCTACTTACTTCTCCTCTATGCTCAGAAACTTTTGCCTGCGCATGCTTTTTCCAGGCGAAACCTGTTCATTCTTCACTTTTGGAAATACCCAATCGACCTCGGTGCAAATTATTTGTGCAAGGTTCTTGCCTATGAACAATTCTCCAGCAGCGCTAAAGATCAGTGCCTTTTTTGACGCTTCTGCAATTGCAGCAAATCATGGGTTTGAGTGGTCATAGACGCAAGGGATCTCAATGTCTTCGCTTGAGGAAGTGAACGTATTGTAGATTTTCTTTCCCAGAACAAAAAAATTACACTCGTCATCAGTGGCCACTGCTTCTGCAACACACAGAGCACAAAATGAAGCAAACAATGGGGTAATTGGGAGGTCATGGACTCCAGGTTCCTCGCGAGTTGTTTTTAGGTCAAGATCTACTGCCTTTAACACAATTACCTGCGAAAATATTTATTGTCAAGTTAGTTTAGGCGTAAAGGAACAAAACACTTCCTTCACACACACACAGCATAAATATACTTATGTATAGTTGACCAGAAACGAACAGAAACTTGCCCACAATGGACATTATTTGGTGTTTTTCTATTTGATGGACCAGGTTGTTGTCAGCGGAGTTCATTCTAAATGCTTTGTAATTGACCTCCACATACTCTTGTTCATCCACATGACATACAGCCACCCCAGTCACCGTATGTGATCCACTGGCTGACTTGATGAACATTATAGATGACAAGATACACGACATAGCAAATAATCAAAATTATTAAAGTAGTCAAATTATTAAAGGAATAATATGCAAAAAAAGCAAGTAAAAAATATTCGAAAGGCGAATTGGTTTGTTTTTTATTCATTTATTTATTTATACATCCCAGATCAAAGGTCAATTTGATTGATCAGATGTTTTTTTCAAGCCTACATCACCATAAAAGAATAAATTTCGATTGTTAAAAAAATAACTAAGCTTTTTTTTTCTTAATTAAAAGAAAAAAAGATCCTTTGCAAAGAAGAACCCTCGTGTGAATCAAAAGCCATTTGCAAATTTCGATTGTTTTTAAAATTTTTGTCCTGATCTTTTCCTCGTGTTCATTTATTTTTATCCCAGATCAAAGGTCAATTTGATTGATTGGATGTTTTTTTCAAGCCTACATCACCATAAAAGAATAAGCTTTGCTTGTTAAAAAAATAACTAAGCTTTTTTTTTCTTAATTAAAAGTAAAAAAGATACTTCGCAAAGAAGAACCCTCATGTGAATCAAAAACCATTTGCGAATTTCGATTGTTTAAAATCTTTTGTCCCTGATCTTTTCCTCATGTTCATTTATTTTTATCTCAGATCAAAGATCAATTTGATCAAACTAATGATGGTGTCCGAAACTAACCCATAGTTTAGGCATTTAGGCAATTTCGGTTTAGGCCTAGTTTCACCCATGAAGTTTTTCTGGCGAAATTGGCAAAACTTAAAAATTGCCTAAACCGTGGGCAAAACTCCTAAACCATGGGCAAAACTCCTAAACCGTGGGCAAAACTCCTAAACTTGGGAAAACTCCTAAACTGTGGGCAAAACTCCTAAACTGTGGGCAAAACTCCTAAACTGTGGGCAAAATTCCTAAACTGCAAAACTTATTAATATTAGTGTTTAAATTTCTACTATTCATGTAATGACCTGGATTCTTAAATAAGCATTTTCTCGTCAATGTCCAACTACAACTTTGTCTGTTTATTTTTTGCTTTTTTAATGGTGGTGATAGACAAAACAGAACAATATAGGGATGTGTTAAATTAATTTTATTATGTAAATCTACACAATTGATAAATTTTTTTTCTTCATTATTTTATTTTAAATACATTCATTCATTAATTAAACTTTAAAAATATGGTTTTAAAAGGATTTTGATAGCATTGTTAAAACACACACAAATTCTTTCGTTCTTTTGTCCATTTGGAACAATGTTTGGGACTTGAATTCCTAATTGTCATCTCTGTAATAAATGATAATCAATCATGCAGAAAATTAATTATTATCTTCCCACATTATTATATTTTTTTTTCTTATCATATTTTCACAAATGTCAAACCCAATTACACCTGATTCTTCAAGTTCTAATACTCAACAAACTTCTCTTTCGCCTCCTCTATCTTTTTCACATTCTCTTTCATCTTCTCCTCCATCGCTTTCTCTAACACCTATTAATAATGAAATAGATACACAAAGAAAAAAAGGTGGACGTCTGTCCGCACGGATTGCATTGTCCGAAATCAAGCCTTGGATCGAAGATTCGGTGTAGGCGAACCCATGCGTGTGGATGGTTCCTCTGTTCTGAAATTCATCCCTTTCGAAATAGTGTAGGAGCTTACCCCATTGCACAAGACCTGGATTTTTCCAAAGTTTATTGCGCACGTTTGCCAACCTGTTGTGATAATGGAGGTACATATGCAATGGTCTGTTTGTTGGGAGTGGATCTTTCTTGTCGGTGCATTCTAAGATTTCTTTCAGATGCTGCCATTTGCCTTCTGTGGCTGTCATGGTGTAGAAAATTTGGGGCAGGCCATAAGCTTGGATCATTGTGTTGATCTGATACTGTTTTTTCTTGAAAAAAGGCGCAGACGTTCTGATAGATGAAGGTAGCGTGGTGGTTAAGGATTTGTTTATGATGGGGCGACTTGTGTACATGCTTGATGATATCAAGTCAGCTCTGGTAAGTGGTGAGTCGTGAGCGACATTCTTCTGATTCAAAATTCTGTTCTGATTTTGGTAATTCCGTTTTTTTTCTATGTTCATGTAAGAATAATGTGGCCAATACCAATGCAATCGAAACCGTGGATCAGGACACAGCATTCTTAATTTATCATACTTTCCATAACTGTCTGTAACTTGTTTAAAGCTTAGCAACTTTTTCACATCTTCATAGTGACCACGGCTGGTGGGAAAGAGATCAGGGAAGACCAACGCTTCAACGTATGGATTACTGAGCTGAATCAGAAGCACAAGGTCATCATCCAAGTCCATGAACCCTGCCATCAAGCATTCATACCTGTAGTCTTCATCATGGATTTGTGCTGGAAAGTCATCATTTGGGACGACCAAGGAGGGTGGTTGTGTGGTGTGTTGGTTAGATGGTAAGCGATCAACAGATCAAGAAACCAGCCTAGCTGTGGGCAAAGGCTCTGGAAATGGATCAGAGGGCGAAGAACGTGTCATGGCGCGATTGTTGTTGTATTGTTTAAATATTGGGTTGTTTTGTTTCAGCCATCGGCTTGCATTTATCAAGCTCTCATGAAACCAATTAGGTGGCTCGGTACCTTGATCAAGGAAAGCACCAATCATGCCCGAGTGCAGATTCAAAGCATGCTTATTCTTTGATAGTCCGATGAAGCCTTGCAAATGACGATAGTTTGTGTAATGGTTGGATCCAGACGCATGTCCCAGCGAACAGCTCATGTGAATCGGAGATATATGCTTACAGTACACCATTGGAACCACGTTGATTTCTTCAGGTATTGCCGCTAATACAGGTGGGAAATGATGGTTTTTTACTGTTTTGCACGACGAGCAAACAGCAATCTTGATACGGTCTTGGTTGTTCATACGCAAAGGTAGCTGAAGTTTGGGGAATGCTGTCGTTAGGTCGTAAGTTTCATCAGGGTTGTAATCAACCCATTTCACAGCAGTGCTCATCATTAGGATAGAACAATAGGCACAAGGAGTAGATGGGTGATCATACAGTATTTTTTTTTTGAATTGGTCTAAAAGTTCTAAAAGTTTTTCTGAAGGGCGCCATGGCTGCAATGACAAAGCGGACACCGGCCGGTTACTCAGCAGAGCATTCAGCAAGTTCTGATTCACTTTGTTACGATCCACATATGCAGAAAGGAACGAAACGTCACGAGCATTATTATTATTATTATTAACACGACGAGTATCGGGATCAGGAACGATAAAATCCGAAATGGGATAATTATTCATGGTTTTTTTTTTTTATTTTGTATTGACAATTTTTTTTCAACAAAATTTATTTTTTAGACAAGATGTCCCAAACGCATTCTTTTTATACAATTTATCGAGGGTGAGCATCATCACGTTTTACGCAAATCAGGATTGGAGATTAGATTTTTATTCTTTATTTGTTTTTCAAATCAGTAAAACTAAGATATTGATCAATTGATCACAAAAAAAAATAATCTATATTAAAAAAAAATTTTTTACTTCTTCATTACACAACAGCAAGCCAAAAACATCGATCATTCATCATCGCTGTATGCTTCATTGTTTGATCAGTGATCAAGATCAAGGTCTTCCTCTTCGTCGTTGGAACACGGCAACTCGGGTCCTTTCCCCTTTCTGTTAACTTGATCCATCGCCGTTTGTAAGGCTTTTGTTCTTGTGATGGGCCTGTTCAGTGGACTCAGCTCTGTGCAAACTTTTTTGTGAGATTCATTGTCATCAACCACCACTACTTGTCTTTTATTATTTTCTACAGTGTTGGTGGCGGTGGCTGATGTTGAGGTCGACGGTGATGTGGATGATGACGCAAACGACGACGATGACGACGCATTGTTGACTTTGTGCCTATTGTTTGACTTCTTGCCTACTTACTTCTCCTCTATGCTCAGAAACTTTTGCCTGCGCATGCTTTTTCCAGGCGAAACCTGTTCATTCTTCACTTTTGG